TCCAGTGGAAGAACCGCCCCGCCGTAGGCTCACATCGTCGACGTCGACTCATTCGACGAACCCCGTAGGCAAGATCCCGCTCCTCTTGACTCGTCAATTCCTATTTATATCTGTCGTTAATTAGTTGCATAGATTAGATTATGAATTGCTATTATCTGCGTGGGACTGTTGATGACGATATTTCAAATAATAAATTAATATTTTTCTAGATTAATAAGAATTATTATTATGGGAAATATTTTTAAAAGAGTTATTCTGGAAAAACGGTTTAAATTGAATTATTATAATAATAAATGAGTTGAAAGAATTTATTTTGGAAAATGGGTTAGTTTTGAATACTTATAATGTTAAATAATTTAAAAGGAATTTTTTTGGAAAAGATTATTTTTTTTGAATTAATAATTTTGTGATCATGACGATCGGAAATTGTGAGTTTTCATGTATAATCATTTGATAGTTGTAGTTCCATCTTGCACTGTTATTAGTAGTTATTCACGTTTCCTGTTCATGATTCATGACACTGTTACATAGTATTCATTGCATTTATACATTGTTATAGTTGAAAATCGCGAGTATTGCTTGACCATAGTGACCCGTGAGATATGAGTTGTTGACTTGGACTTGGGATGGGAAGGTCTGGGTTCATGTTATCGGATATGTTGTTATTTATTTCCAGGCTCACACCAGTGAATCGTTTCGCACTGGGGTGGGTCTGAGGTGATGTGATATTATGATTGTTGATTATTTCCAGGCTCGCACCAGTGAATCGTTTCGCACTGGGGTGGGTCTGAGGTACTAGTGAGATGTGGTTGTTAACCAGATATCCGATCAAGTGAACTTTGACTCTGTGTGAGATAACTGATCGCTAGCTGCATGATCTCGTTACCTGATCGATTTTTGGATGCTTTATGTTTATAGTGTTTTAGTAGTATTTTTGCATGTTGATTTTGTTGGATTACCAGTTGCATGTTCTTTTGTCGTTTCGGTTAGCGTATCATTTTCCGCTTGGGTTTTCGTTCGTTCTTGTCTTTTGTGGGGTCTTGCCGTGTGCCATGCACCCTAACGTACACCTTATTTCTCTGGTGTACGTCAGACTTAGAGGAAGAACAGGTTCAGCTGGGAGATCAGCAGGAGCCAGAGGATTCTCAGCAGGAGTGCCTTGCAGATAGAGCAGAAGAAGAAGCCGAAGTCTAGTCGTCTCTTTTATTATATGTTGGTCCCTGTTTACTTTTGTAGTTCGTTCTATTTCTATGGTTCGATGTATCTTTGCACCTCATCAGTATTCACTTGTTCAGATATGTATAAGGGCATGTTTGGCCCGAATATTATGTCTTGGATGATATTCATTTATGATATGTCTATTTTTATTCTGGGTTGTCTTTATATTCTTGCTATGTGTGATCGGGAACCTGTGACTTCGTATTGTACTTATTTCCAGACGCTTAGCGTATTGGATAGAGAAGAAAAGAAAAGAAAAAAAAAGATAGTGTATATTTCTTCTCAATCTAATACGTCGCGGGCTTGTTCACGTTCCGATCCCCGGGTATTTTGGGAAGCGGGGCGTGACAGTAAGAGAGAGTTATTCATCCACTTTCAAGCATCCTCAAAGCCTTCTGGTGTTTCCTTGAGTTCGAACTTAGATTTGATCTCGATAAGAGTGTTCATCTAACTTTGCTAAGATATTCACTTCAGTTCTTGTTTCCACATCGAAACATCAACTTTTAACCTTCTTCGTTTCTGGCTGGGAACATAGATTCGGTGGTCCACAGATTACGCATCCCTAGAACATGCAAAGATCTCATGCAAGAAGAAGCTACTACGTAGGAGTTTCTGCATGTGTTTCTAGAGAGCACGAATTTTGTTTCTTTGTAAAGAGAGGAAATTTACACGTGTAAACCTCATTCAATTATTTCTATTAAAACATTTTAATGGAAACCACAAAGAAATTTGTTCTCGACGTAAACAGAAGGCAATGTTTACCTAGCCTAATTGATTGTTTCCTAAGAGGGGACATTCTTCTGAAACATGAGTTGGAGGAAGATAATAGTGACAACCTGAACTAGAAATTTAATTGATTTGAGTTGGAGCTCGTTCCTTAATTTCTAAGGCTTCTAACCTGCATAGGATTGTAGACATATTTGCTTCAGAGGCAATGATTGACTCTAACAAAAGAACACAAGACTTGGGTTAGGGAACTGATGAAACTCTGTCATCATAGTGTTCCTACTGCATGGTTTTCTTGGATAAACTCTCTAAAAATTTCTAAGCTTTATCGGCATTTTTCTTCATGAAATCCCCCTCACACATTGATTCTAAGAAAGTTTTTAAAAAATAATCCAATTCTTTATAAACGATTTGGCATAATCGCCACTTTTGTAAACTGTGGTGAGGACATTGGATAAGAAAATCCTTAAACCTGTCAAAATACTTTCAGAATGGCTCTCCCGGGACTATCTTAAAGTTATAAATGTTGTTTTTCAGCTTAACCATTATGTGGTAGGGAAATTTTTCTTCAGGAAAATGGTGACAAATTTATCCCAAGTTGAGATAAAATTTGTGGGTAAGCTATACAGTCATTTCTTGGTTTTGTCCTTAAGAGCAAAATGAATAAATCTAAGCTTAATCGCATCTTCAGATAGTTCTCTAATCTTAATTATATGACAACCTTTCTCAAACTCGGAGATAAAAATGTAAGCGTCTTCTGTTTCATTTCCTAAGAATTTTGGAAGCATAATTATGTAATGCGGTATAAGCTCAAAATTAGTTCCATTAACCTCGGGAAGTTTAATACAAGATGAGATTGCATTCCTAGTTAGATAACACATATCTTGAAGAACGGGTGGATTAGCCATTTCGTTGGTCTCAAAAGATGGTTCAACACGAATTAAATGATTGGAATTATTTCTATTCCAAACTTGCATCCCCCAAAAAAATGATAATTTTTTTTGAATTCTAAGAAAAATAAAAGTTCTTTTTTTGAGAAAAACTAAAAGATCCAAAAGAAATTGGGAGAATGAAAAAGGATAAAAGAAAAACCTAACTAAAATAAATCAAGAGCAATCACTTGTGTCAATCACTTTTAAATTCTAGGATTAAGCCTAAACTCAACTAGACCAGCTCCTAACCAAAAACTACTTTAGTGAAAAGATTGACGTTTACTTGGTCAATTAGCCAGGTAAGGATAGTACTAGAAGGAGATTAAAGATCAATTAAGTATCTCATTCCTTATGGAGCGTTTTACGTAATCCCTAAACTTTACCTTAGACACCAACGGATTCAAGTAAACTTGAACCGGTTCACTTAAGAATTTCTTGCTCCTTAATGAGCTCGAGTCCTTAGGAGCTAAAGTTAATGGGTTTTAAAAGGCTTGGGTTTGTGTAGTAAAGAATTAGTGCTTTGTGGGCTAAGAAAAGAGTGATAAAATCCCTCACCTTATCTTGATTAGGGGTTTTTTACCTTTAACAATGTATTCAAGTGTGTGTCAAATCAAAATGCTCAAATCACGTGGGTAAATTCCTACTAGCTATATGTAATGGAACCCTATGAATTAAAAGTAATTACAAAAGGATGCAAAAAAAAATATTTTTATTTTTTTAATTAGGGTTAACAATCAAACAAAAGTGAGATAGAGTTCTTATTTGAATTTATTATCTTATTCAATTGGAAGGGAATTTTATTAGCGTTGACAAGAAAAAAATATTTTTTAGATCCTAATTGACTCTAATTGAGGGAAACTAACTAAACGGGTAAAATTAAAAATACTAGAAAGAAGAGTTGCTAAAAGTAAATCTTCAATCTTCAATCCTTGATCTTCAATCTTCAAAGCGGTTCCTTCACAAGAAAACACACAAGCTAAAGAACCAAAATAAATAAAATCCTACTTATAAGCACCTTCCTGGCAACGGTGCCAAAAACTTGGTAGGGGGATAAATAGAATCCACAGTTACAAGCACACAACCATCAAGTTATAGTATAAAAGATTGCAAATCCCACGAGGAAGGTGTTATAGGAATTAATCAAAATTGATTCTTAAGTTGTGTGTGTGATAATTTAGGAGTGATGAAAGAATATGGTTGTGGAGAGATAAAGAGAGTGGTCATGATAATATGAAAATAAAACAAAATTAGATTGAGAGGGGAGAAAGAAAAATGAAGAAACTAAAGGAAAATAAAATCAATAAACAAATAAAGAAAATCAAAAATAAAGAGGAAAATCAAGAAGGTAAAAGTTAGAGGATTCAATTAAAGATATGAGTATTCTAGAATTGAATCCACTAACCAATTTTATTTATTGATTACGAACTATTCTCTTTTTATCACATTTTACTTTATATTTATTAAGCATAGACTATCAAACCACTTAAGAAATGCATAACCTATCAAATTATCAACTAAGTAAAATTAACATTCATGAAAAGAATAACAACTAGATAGTAATTCTAGAATTCATAAACATAATCTACCAAACCACTCAAGATAAGCATAGATTATCAAATTCTTCTTCTACAAATTAGTTCTCTAGTTGATTATCCTAAGCATGATCATTTTAAACACAAAAGAATAATTCACAAATTATAAAAGAGATCACACTAGTTTTATACAATTCTAGAATTCCTACAAGAATTAGCTCCACATCTTAGAAAATAAAAATAAAGAAATAAAATCTATACTAAAGAGAATAAAAGGAAGAAAAAAAAATAAAAACTAATTCCCAAGAGGGTTCTCTTCTCTTGGAGAATAGAAGAAAAAGAATAAAAATAAAAACTAATTCCCAAGAGAGTTCTAGCCTCTTGGGGAATGATGCAATAAAATAAAATCTAAACTATGCAAGAAATTAAATCTATATTAAAATACAAGAAAATAAAGACATGAATATAAATTTACTCTACAAACATCAAAATAAATCTAAAACAGGAGGGATCTAGAATCTTGAATATCTAAAACAAGAAAAAAATATTACAAGAAAATAAAAGATAAAAGAGAAAATGTACATAACAATAGGGTTCTCACTCTTAAAAGCAAACCTTCATCTTTATCTTCATCTTCATCTTCATCTGCATAATTAAACAAAGAGAAGAAAAAAAAAATATGAAGAGGTAAAAATATTATTTTATTAATTATAATAAAGTTATAATTTTTGAAATGTCTTCTCAATTAAGAGTAACCCTCCACTCCAAATAGAGTTTTTACAAAAAATTTTACACTCAAACCGCTTAGCCTCTACCCCTATTTATATCTATAGCAATGAATGAGAACATTTGGATTTTACTTAGAGATCAAGGATTAAATCGCAGCTATAAAACATTTTCTATTGCAAACCAATCGGTTGGCTAACTGATAGGCCAATCGGTTAGCCGACCAATTGGTTTGCAACAGATTGATTTTTTTATGATTTCTTGATCCGATTTCTTCATGGATCCCTAAGCTTTCTTGGGTCTTCTTTTGTCTTTATATTTAGACTTTAATAAATGATAGAAAATCAAGGAGTTTGATTCTTTTGGGCTTTTAATCATTAATCCTTCATTAACCTGCAAATTAAAATAAAACACATTTATTAGTAATATTTTTATTTAAATAAAATAGATAATTAGGGTATAAAAATAATTAAAAAATGTGATTATCAGCTTCTAGGTCAAGAGGAGCTTGGTCGACATAGGAAGCTCGACTGATATCGTATTCATCAACACTTTTAACTAGATGGGCATCGATGAATCCAAATTGCAACCTTGTCGGGGTCCTCTTATCAGATTCATTGGATATTTGCTCCTACTGTAAAGGATGATCACTCTCCTCCTGATGGTTAGCGAATACCCTCATCAGTCCACTATACAGACCTAGTTCCTAGTGATGAATATCAAGTCGGCCTACAACGTCATTATAGGAAGAACTGCCCTTAGTAATTTGCAGGTGGTTCCATCCACTTACCACCAGATGGTAAAATTCCTAACTCATGAATGAGTCGGAGTTACTAAAACCAACCAATGAAATGCTAGATCCTGCTATTTGCTCTCGATGAAAGGAAAAGGAGTACTGGAGAACCTGCCGATTGAAAAGACAAGTCTCCAAATGGAAAAAGTGTTAGAACGAGAGCAAACAACCCCTGCCGAAGAACTCCATGAGATAACTATCAACCTAGATGGAGTGAAGAAGGTCAAGATTAGGTCAAGCCTCGTTGAACCTAAATGAAGAGCTATGATCGCATTCCTACATGAGAATGTTGATGCATTTGCTTGGGACCCAAAGACATACTAGGAATCCCACGGAAGAGGCGAGCCATGAGCTCTCAGTCAATCGACACACCAAGTCGATTCAACAAAAGAAGAGACGTCTCAGCCTCGATAGACAAAAGGCGACAATCAAAGATATAGACCGACTTCTCAAAGCCGGCTTCATCCGAGAAGTGTAGTACCTGAAGTGACTGTCCAATGTAGTGTTAGTGAAGAAGTCCTTTGGCAGGTGGAGGATGCGCGTTGACTTCACAGATCTTAACAAAGCTTGCCCAGATGATAGCAACCCCCTTCCTAGGATCAATCAACTTGTGGACAAGAGTGCGGGTCATGAACCACTCAGCTTCATAGATGCATTCTCTAGCTGACACTAGATCCTCATGGCGGAGCATGACCAAGAGAAGACCTCTTTCATTATAGACCAGGGGACCTATTACTGCAAGCTGATGCCTTTCGATCTTAAAAACGCAGGTGCCACCGACTAGAGGCCAGTAAACAAATTCTTTAAGCCCCAGATCGGCCATAATGTAGAAGCGTACATAGACGACATCCTTGTAAAATAAAAATAGGCATTGTCTTACCTATTTGACATTGAAGAGACTTTCTCCGTCCTTCGGCACTATCGCATAAAACTCAAACCCATCCAAGTGCGCTTTTGGGGTACAATCGGACAAATTCCTCAGATTCATGATTATTCAGCAAGGCATTGAAATAAACCCTAAAAAGATAGCCGCCATAGAGAAGCTACCTGAGCCCTGCATGCTAAAGGGCGGCCAAAGACTAAATGGAAAGATAGCGGCATTGAGTCGTTTCCTCTCCAAATCTGCTAAAAGAAGCCTCCCCTTCTTTAAAACTTTGAGAGGGAGTAAGGAGCTGAAGGAAAGCATGGCTAGACGAATGAATATAGCGAGGCTTTTAGGGACCTCAAGAGATACTTGAGTGCCAAGTCGCTGTTGAGTCAACCTATAGAAGGGGAGATCTTGTATCTCTACATGTTCAGCTCTCCCGAAGCCATCAACTCTATCTTGATTCTAGAAGAGGACAATACCCAGAAGTCGGTGTACTATATTAGTCGGATCTTGAAGGTGGCCGAACTCAATTACACTCTTATTGAGAAATCCTTCTTCATTCCCTTCGCCCCTATTTTCAGGTACACACCATAGTGGTATGAACAACTCTGCCTTTGAAGAAGGCACTCAGCAGCCCAACAACTTCTGGAAGGATGGTCGCATAGTTGGTCGAGCTCAGTGAATATGATGTATAGTTTGAGCCGAGAATGACCATAAAGGCCCAAGCCTTGGCCGACTTCTCGATAGAGTCGACGGTATTTGATGATGAGCCATCTCTACCTATGATGCTCCTCAACCGATGTCCTCAACATCCTAGACAGTGAAGGCGCATACTTCTAGGAAGCATTGTCTCCACGAGCATGACTCACCCGAGTTCGCCTCTTGGTGGTTGCTAAAGGTAGACAGGTCTTCCAAAGAAGGAGGCAGTGGAGCTCGAGTAGTCCTGTGTGGCCCCAATGGGTCGATGCACGAGCACTCCATATATTTTGATTTTTCGCCTCTAAAATAAGGCCGAATATGAAGCCCTCTTGGCAGGTCTTCGAGCCACCTTAGCAGTCAAGGCCGAACTCATCTATATCCTAGCCGACTCCCAACTGGTGGTCCACCAAGTGAAAGGAGAGTATGCAACCAAGGACTCAAGGATGATATTATATCTAAAGGCAGTCAAAGAGCTCTTGAAGAATTTTGTATATTTCAGGATCGGCCAAGTCCCTCGCGCCCTCAACGCATGAGCGGACACCTTATCCAAGCTTGAGTCTATCAGCTCAGGACCCATTTCAAGGGCTGTACATACAGACACCCTCAAGTGCCCTAGCATCATGGAAACTTCAAACCCAGTCATGCAAACCGAGACTACCTCGAAACCCTATTGGATGGATCCACTCATCCAGTACCTAATGGGGGGCCTTACCAGAGAATGCAATTAAAGTCTAGAGTCTGCATAGAAATGCTCGACGATATCTCATGCTCGATAACCAGCTTTATCGGATGTCATACTCTAGCAGTAGTGTGGGGCCCTATCTCCAATGTCTCCGGCCGGTAAAGGCCAACTATGTTCTTAGAGAGATTCATGAAGGGACTTGTGAGAATCGCCCAGGGGCTCAAACTCTTGCCTGAAAAGTTATCCGCCAAGGATATTATTAGCCCACCATTTTAGCCGAGTCCAGGAGACTCGTCTCTCAGTGCAAGAAGTGACAATTCATCTCAACCATAACACGGATTTCAGCCACTAAATTCACCCCCATCTTGAGCCCCATTCCATTTGCTCAATGGGGATTAGACTTATTAGGGCCTCTCCCAATAGCCTCTGGGCAACGAAAATTCCTGATTATTGCCATTGATTACTTCACCAAATGGATCAAAGCTAAGTCGTTGGCCAAAATTAGCAAGAGCAATATCACCAATATTGTGTGGAGGTCCATTGTCAGTTGATTTGATGTTCCTCTCTCTTTCATCACCGGCAATGGTGTTGGCCTTTTGTTTTGATGATGTTTTAACAAACAATTTATAACTAATATTATTTATCTAGTGTTTGTAATTTCTTATTTATTCTAGATAAACAATGTGTTGGAGTTTAGATGGAATTGCGCCTTAACGATGACATTCAACGGAGGTTGGTGGAATAGTGGAATGAAGCCATTTGCACTTCAAGTCATATTCAAGATCAGCTTCATCCGCATCCAAGTCAAGCTCATTGAAGATCAATCAAGCTTGGGTAAATTAGTTTTGGGTTTATACTATGTGTGTAGATACTTTAAGCTCAATCATATACACACATATATGTTTTGGTTTTATAGTTTTCAAGTTTATATAAATATGAAATAAATATACTTATTTATATACATATATACATGTTTTATATTTATCATTTTTTGTTTTGGTATTGGTAAACAATGTGTTTAGTCACATAAACATGAAAACTTAACAACACGTATATAAATATATTTTTATGTTTTGAACAGTTTACAAAATAAATGATATCTCAAAAATGGGAAATGTAATTTGAGAAATTTCTTTTTTTAACATATTCTATTACATGTTTACAAACATTTTCCAAACTTTTATCATTTTTGGAGTTGATTTACTATGCTGAATTGATTTTACAAAATTAGGTATTTTAGCAGTTTTTAGAATCTAGACTATCTATTTTAAAATATATATTTCTCACAAATGGGAAGTGATATTTTAGAAAGTTTTTCCTTTAATGTTTTTATCTACATGTCTAGAACCTTCCCTAAAAATTTTATGATTTTTGGAGTTGATTTACTATTTTTAATTGATTTTACAAAGCCAGATAAGCAAATTTCCAGAATGTTGGATTTTGGGGTATTTTGGTCGTTTCAGCCTATAACGGCTAGTTTTCGCTTTTGTGGGTTTTTGGCTGTTTTTAAGAGGCTATAAAAAACCCTCAACTTTCATAGTTTTATATGGATGTTTAAGAAAGTTTCAAAACAAGTTTACAAGAGTTTAAGGGTTTTAAAAGTTTGTTTACAAGTTTGATTTGTGAAGAAGGTTTCACAAGAACAAGAGGAGATCATCAATTTGTGTTTGGGATTTTATCTCATCATTCTCTCTCTCTCTCTCTCTCTCTCTCTCTCTCTCTCTCTATTGTATTCATTGGAGAAGTTTTCTAAACTCAATCTCTAGCTATTTATACGTTTGATTTTCATTTCTATAAGCTAGACTTTAATTGAGTTTATATCTCATTTTCACTCATTGTTTACACACATTCATTTTAACTTTTAGTATTTTCATACATAGAATATTGGGGTTGTGGGATTGTAACATTGAGTGTGGGCTTACATTGTGTTCTCATCAATTATAGAGAACAAAGCATTAGTTGTTGAGCTTAATTGTGAGAATCACATTGTATTACACTTGTACACCGAGAGAAGTGTGTGGTGAGAGACGGGGTCGATTCCAAGAGGAGTGGCATCGGTAATAAAGTCTAGAGAGGTTGTAAATGCGAGCACTTGAGGAGGAGGACACGGGCTGGGCCAACACTTAGAGGGTGTAGAGTGTGTTTACATTGTGAGTGATTGTGAGAGTTTTCGGTGAGCTAGAAAATCGAGATTGTGTGGAGTTGTAAACATTTTTGGGTGAACGTCGAAAACCCATTTGTGATAGTGGAGATCTCCTCGAGGTGAGGAGCGGAGACGTAGGTCAAGGGTTGACCGAACTCCGTGATCATATTGTTTGTTTGTGTTTGTCATTGGCGTTCATTTATATTTGTACTCTTTGTTGATATCGCCATTATTGCATGTTTATATCACCCTTGTTTATATTGCTTACCCTTGCATATATCTCTTGAATATCATACTTGCTAGGATAGATTGTTAATAAGTTTTAATCAACATTAATATCAGATTAGATTAGCATAAACCCTATTCACCCCCCCCCCCCCCCCAGCCCCCCCCCCCCCCTCTAGGGTGCTTTCAAATGGTACTCAATTTAACAGTGGAGGCTTTCGAAGCTTTTGTGAAGAATGGAATATCCAGTTCAAATTTGCCTTTGTCGCACATCCGAAAAGCAATAGACTTGTAGAAGCCACCAACAAGTACACCCTCCAAGCTCTAAAGAAGAGGGTGGACAAACCAGTCAGAAATTGGGTCGAAGAACTGCCAGGGATCCTATGGTCTTATCGCTCTACCCATAAGAGCTCCATAGGAGAAACCCCCTCAAGCTGGCTTATGGAGCCTATGTGGTCTCTCCAGTTGAAGTCGGCATGCCCACAATCTGACTACAACATTTTGATGAAGACTTGAATTTAGAAGGGATTCGAATTAGACTCAACCTCATCAATGAAGTTCACGAGGAAACTCTCTGATCCCAAGTCATCAATCATTAATGCATCACTCGGCACTACAACAGTAAGGTCCAGCCTCGGAGATTCAACATTGGTGATCTCGTCCTTCGAAAAGCCATCTTCAACGAAGACGTCTGGTGTGGCAAGTTGGCTGCCAATTGGGAAGGATCCTACACAATCATTGAGGAAGTGTGTCTCGGCACTTATCAATTGAAAAGCCCTGATGGAAGGATCCTACAACATCCTTGGAACATTGAGCACCTCATAAAATACTTCCAGTAATGTTGATTGTAAGACCCACATGTGATATAAAATCTTTTGGGTTCTAACTATTTCACTATGCTATCTTTTAGTACCATAATTCTTCAAAGAAGCATGGAGCCGAGTCGTCACAAGTAAACCCAAGGCACGAGGTTGAGTCGCACTAACTCACTGCTTACATAGCTGAGTCACCTCGACCCAAAGAACCAACTCATCCTAGTTACAAATCTCAAAATGAGGTAAACCACAGATGAACATAAATACAAGACAAAAAAATACAACAATCGAGAAAGCAAAAATATAACTTTTATTCATTTATCAAAATATTTACATCAATATTTACATCAACAAAAAGAAAAAGATACATGAAGCTTTCATGGGACTCGACTCAGATACAGAGTAGGGCTGAAGAGCGCGGCTCCTAGCTAAGGAGTGGGAGTCGGTTGAGGAGAAGCATGGGCAACCTCTTCATCTTGATCATCAACGGCCCAATTGTCCCCCGCCGAGCCCTCTCCTAACTCCTCACCTCCCTCGTATTCATTATCCACATCTAGTACTAGTCCACCTCCTTCACCTCTATCTCTTTCAAGATATCGAGGCAATTAGCGACCCAAGAGGGATAATGAAGATGATCTGGCTCGGGTCGAGACTTGCGAGGGAGCTGCTCTAAGAGATAGTCGAAGTCGGCTTTGCATGTCAACGCCACCTCGAACTTGCCTAGGGGGCTGTCATGGTATTTCTCCACAACCTCTACCCTATAAGCCTCAGATTCGAGATGACTGAGGCAATCCTCCATTGTCTGCATTTCAGATTGTGGTCTCTCGGCCGCAATTGCCGCTTGGGGCACCTCCTTCTTCATCTTCTCATGGGCGTTCACCTTCTCCTTTAGCTACGCTTGAAGGCTTTCGACATGACAGAGAGCCACTTGGGCACATTTGAATGCGATCCTGCTCTCTCACGTATCACACTTGAGCTCGGCCTCCAAATATCTCATCCGGCTGTCCTGCTCAAAGATGTGATGCTGGAGGTGACCGATCTCTTCTTTAAGCATGGCGATCGTGGTTGACTGGTTGTTGCGGTGCGCTTGGAGACCCTCGATCATCTTTTGTCGAGTCCTTAGCTCTCGACGCCACTTGCCGTCACTCCGCTTCTAAGCCTCTAGCTCCACACTCATGGCAGTGACCTTCTTTTCAGCCTTCTCATGGGCCGCCCTCTCAGCATCTAGCTCCTCTTGAAATTTGGCTAGGAGACCTCGTACGAGCTCATGTCAAGAGAACAGTATTGCTCGATCAGAGTCCCTCTCAGTGGAAAGCCCTTGGGTCTTGGTGGAGGCCAATGTTGGGCATCCCCGAGAGGATCTCATCATCTTGAGCAAGGGAGAACTACTCCAAAGCCTAGTGATGAGCAAACGATCGGTTTGGTTGGTTTTTATCAAATTTTGAACAACCGAACTGAACCG